CTTAAAGTTCATACTTAGTGGGGGAATAATATTAAAATCAGGAGCAAGATAGTGATATCTACCATCGTTGCTTGTCATTAATCTGTAGATAATAGCTAATGAACCAGACAGCAGAAAGAAAGGACCTCACCTGTGGAGTGCTTGCCTATTATGCAGGAGGCCCTGGGTTCCTCTCCACTACTACACAATAAATAAATAATTAAGATCAAAAGAATACAATTAAGGAAGAAAGGGGAGGAAGGAGGGAACCAGAGAAATAAATTCTGAACAAGAGGAAATAGATTCTTACTAGCAGGTGTGGATGGATGCAGAATATCTGAGTTTGAGTCCCAGCACCCACAGGTTAAACTCAGCCACCTGTAACTCCAGCTCCAGGGCCTCCAAGGGCACCTGCACTTATGTGCCCATCCCCAAGTCCCATGACCATAATTTAAAAATACCTATCATCAGCAAGGGGCTGGGTAGGAGCTTAGTCGGTAGAGTTCAATCACTAGCACCACATAAAACATATATTTGGAGAGCAGAGGCAGGAAGAAGAGAAGTTCAAAGTCATCCTGGGCTACACAGTGAGTTTGAAACCAGCCTGTAAAACATGACACACCGGACAGGGAGAGAGAGAGAGAGAGAGAGAGAGAGAGAGAGAGAGAGAGAGAGAGAGAGAGAGAGAGAGGAGAGAGAGCCCCACTGGCAGAAACAGACAGAAACACAGAGACAGAATATTGTTGATCGATTATTACAGTTGTACCTAACAAAAAGTGATGAATTTAGAAATGTGACTCATCTAAGTGTTGTTACAAATAATAAGAGAATCTAGTGAATGTTCAAACCAGAAGGTAAAATAACCAACCTGTGATATAAGCAACAGTTAAGTAGGCCTATGGAATAAAAGACCCTTTCCCCATAGCAGGAAGAATTTAAAGGACCCAGGAGTTGTTTTGATAGGTTACACATAGGCACATACATATAATTAAAAATAAAATAAATCTTAAAAAAAAAGGAAATCCACATCATAGTAAGTCGATACTGTAGCACTTCCTGTCTGATCATGCTTGCTAACATCAGAAAATAGAGACATGTCTAGCATGCAGGAGGCCCTAGATTCCATTCCCAGCACTGAAACAAACAAGTAACCAATAAGCTATGAATGTGTCTCAATTGCCACCCGACTCACAGCCATGATAAGGTCTGATTGCAGAGGCTGAGGATAAGTGTCAGGGTAAACAAGTGGACCTCCAGGATCCATCCACCTAAGGCTGGCTGTCTCTTGGGAGGGGATTCTGGGTGGGAGAGACTAGGATCTGGACTGCTTAAAATATAAAATTGGGGACATATCAGCATGGAAAGGTTAAATTTTCATATGGCCTCACCCTAGACAAAGAACTACATATAGCCAGGCATTGGTGGTACACAACTTTAGTTCCAGCACTTGGGAGGCAGAGGCAGGCAGATCTCTGTGAGTTCGAGGCCAGCCTGGTCTACAAGAGCTAGTTCCAGGACAGGCTCCAAAGCAATACAGAGAAACCTTATCTTGAAACAACAACAACAACAACAACAAAAAACAAAACAAAACAAAAACCCCACAACATATAATTAATGTCTGGGGGGGGTTTTAGCTTATCCCAGCAATGGGCCCCCTTATTGGCTATCTACTGCAGAGTGGTCAGCCCTGAAAGCATATACACACAAACAACAAAAACAAGGCCAGCAGGCTGTATTTACACATATTTGTGACTGTGTGTGTGTGTATGTGTGTAACCAGAGTTGAACAAAAAAAGCTAAACCCTGAAAGTGGGGGGAAGGACGTGGGGGGGTTTGAGGGGTTTGAGGGAGGGTAGATGGCGGGGAGGGAGGAGAAGAGGGAAAAAGAAAACAAATGACAAACATTGAAGATGACATGGATGAAAAGGAAGCCTTAACCACTTGTGGTGGGAATGTAGCAACATAGAGAAACCCTGTCTCAGAAAACAAAACAAAACAAAACAAAACACCTAAAATATGGATCTGTGAGGTGCCTTAATGGATAATGGTGCTTTTTCATTTTTTAAAATCTTATTTATTTATTTATTTATTTATTTATTTATTTATTTATTTTGAGAAGGGTTTCTCTGTGTCTTTGGAGTTATAGACCAGCCTGGTCTCGAATTCATAGAGATCTGCCTGCCTCTGCCTCCTGAGTGCTGTGATCAAAGGTGTGCACCACCAACGCCAGGCGGTAATGGTGCTTGTTACCAAGCTTGACAATCAGGACCCACATGGTGAGAGTAGAGAACCAACTCTTGAAAATTGTTCTCTGATATTTACACACATACCAAAGCCTGTGCCTCCACCCCCAAATAAATAAATACATAAATAAAACAAGAAGTTTAAAAATATATACGTTAAACACACAACTGGGAAAAAATACAAAATTGGAAACTGGGTATGGTGGACCACATCTGTACTCCACCTGCTGTTGAGGCTACCTTCACTTAAATTCAGGGGGCGGAAGCTAACCAGTAGAACACAGTGAAACCCCATCTCTTAAAATAAGCAGCTGATGACCTTTCCAAAACCGAAACTTTATACTTTGGAAACACTTTGTGCAAATAATGCTTAGTGGGCTCTGCATGATGAGGGAAGCCTTTCCACGACATTTGTAAGAGAGACCGAGGTAAAATGAGCAGGCAGGAGCAAGGGCAAAGCCTGCTTTTTCCTACATTCCCTTCCACAGGTTTGAATGATCCTGAGTTCTAATTACTTTCAAAAGAGTGGGGGAAAAGGCAACTTACACTTTAGGAAGCTCACCACTGAAATAAGCTAACAGTGCAAAGGACAGTTAGCCTGCTTTCCTTCCTCCCTTCCTTTTTTTTTCTTCCTTTCTTTTGAGACAGGGTTTCTCTGTAGCTTTGAAGCCTTTCCTGGAACTTGCTTTGTATATAAGGCTGGCCTCAAACTCACAGAGATCCTCCTGCCTCTGCCTCCTGAGTGCTGGGACTAAAGGTGTCATGGCTGCCACCACCACCCGGCAGTTAACATTTCTTGAGTGCCTACTATATGCCAAGAGACTTACTAGGAATTCTGTGGGTATCCTAATTAATTGAACTAACTTCCTGTGTAACAAGCACCTCCCCTTATCTTCCCAGGGGAGACTCACATTTCTTGAGGAGGGTCTAAGGTCTGCAGAGCCACACACAGCTTGTGACTGTGGCACACCAGCGTGTGAACTCACACCAGCAGGAAGAAAGGGCAACGGCCTGAAATGCTGTTCTGCTCTCTCTCTTTGGCCTAGGAAGCCTAGGAAGTTGAGGTACTCTGGGAGAACAGGGAGACCACCCAGGACAGTTCTGGACGCCCCTCTGCACTGCCTCGCAGAGGCCACATAGCCCCAGGCATGGGTTAGGGAGCTCCATGATATGTGGCCAGGCCGCCTGCGGCATCTGGGCCAGCCTTGGTGGACTTGTTAAGCAAACACAAAATTTCTGCCCCTGCCTGATGAGGGGACCCCAGACACCTGGAGCTGTCCTGGAAAGACTGTCCTGGACTTTGACTTCCCTGACCTCAGAGGTCCTTGGGTCTGATCCTACTCCAGATGGTCTCTACTCTGACGTCCCAAGATGATGTCCTGTGTCCTGTTCCCATTGCAGTGCACTGCTTCAGCCCTCACCTGGCAGCCCAAATCATAGGAGCCAGAGAGTGGTGGTGGTGGGAGACACCAGGCTTCTCTCTTACCTCAGCCCTCCTTCCCAGCATGATTGGGCCACTGCCCTCCTTTGGGCCCTTAACACTGGCCTAGAGCCAGGACAGGCACCAGGCTTCATTCCAGGGGTCCCCTCTCCTAGAACGACGCACAGACTTGGTTTGGGGGCTGCTTTCCAATCTCAAACCTGACCTGGGTCAGACACAGGCAAGGGTGGTGAGGAAGACAGCTGCTCTTCTACATGACAAAGGGTGGTCCTGCTGGAGAGCCATGGAACACACCCACAAGTCTTGCAATCCACTATGGCTTTTTTTCTTTAGCCCCTGACTGTGGTTGCTAGAGTCAGCAAATAAACACTAGATACTAGTGAAATGCAAATCACAGGTAAACAATGAATAATCTATTAGTGTAATCATGTCACAAATCCAGTCCTGGTTTTATTTAGCAGCCCTACTCCTGGTGAGTTGCTCAATTTTATTTCTCCAGTACAATTCTTCAACCAGTGCACAAATCAACATTCAGATATCTGGCCTGTGTCTTGGAGAAGGCTTAGCAGACTCCGGAGTCTAGCCACACACACCCCTGTCCCCACTCCAGCCTCACACATTGCATTGAGTCATTCTTGAAGAGCCTGGGCAGGACTCCGCAGATGATAACTAGAGATATTGAAAAGCACTGACTGTGTGGGCACTGATCTTTTCAAGACAGGGTTTCTCTGTGTAGTTCTGGCTGTTCTGGAACTCGCTCTGTAGACCAGTCTGGCCTTGAACTCAGATCAGCCTGCCTCCCAAGTGCTGGGATTAACGGTGTGATACACCACCGCTCAGCTGTGGGCACTGGTGTTTGTTTACGTTGCCCCTTCTCTAAGCCACTATTCTCTTGGCTCAAAAATTGGGAGAGGATGGACTTTCGACTCTAATTCCCATAGGGCAAGGAAAGGAAAGGATGTGGCTCTGGACTGACCAGTCCTAGGCTTCTTGGCCGAGGAAGGTCTCCCCAAAGTAGGACATGCTGGTTCTAATAAGCCCAGAAGTTTGTTAACACCTGGCCTGGTGTACTGAGAGGCAAGTCAGTTGGAGAGCCCAGATGTTGATTGGTTCTTTCCAGGGTTCGGAAGCAGCAATGAACAACGCTACAGGTGCACATTCCAGACACTGGGAACAGGCACCCAGCAGAGAATGAGCTCTTCACATCTCCAGGACTCCCAACCCATGCTGGGGTTGAATTTAGGGCTTCATGTGTGCAGGCAAATGTTCCACCACTGAGCTATTACTAACCCCACCCTGAATGTCTTAACTGGTCAGGCACCCTTAAGTCAAAGTCGATGCATATGACTAACAGACAGTAGTGACCAGATGTTCTCCTTCCAGACAGGCCTTTGTGTCCTTTCTAGACAGCCCCTCCTCAGGGCTCAGTGGCTTGTTGCATGCTGAGCTCCCAGGAGGTCCCAGGGGTGTGACCTCTCTCCTCCTTCTTCCCCACCCCCCACCCCAGGGCCACCTATAAAGCTGGTCTGTATCAGCCCTCAGTAGACCCAAGACCCTTTCAGGACACCCAAGGACACACATTTACAGCTCCTCCTGCTCCTGGGCAGCGATATGCAGTCCCCATGGCTCTGCTGGGCACTCTGGGCACTGTCCCTGGTTGGCTCGGGGACAGCTCTGACTGGAGAGCAGGTCCTGGGCAGCCTACTGCAACAGCTGCAGCTTAGTCAGCCACCTGTCTTGGACAAGGCTGATGTGGAGGGGCTAGTCATTCCCTCCCATGTGAGGGCCCAGTATGTGACCCTGCTACAGCGCAGCCATGCCAGCCGCTCCAGAGGGAAGAGGTTCAGCCAGAACTTTAGAGGTAAGCATGCTCATGTTGTCCCTGGTCTCTAGGAAAGGCAGGTTCACTATGCCCTCCCACCTGTGGTATGAATGGGTCCTTGCTTTGTGGGGCTCAGAGTGGAAGTCTTGGAGTCACAGTCTGAGGGGGGTTGTTAAGTTGGCTGGGTCTGGGCCCTGGGGACTTGGCTGTGCATTGAAAGACCCTTGGGGATAAGAAAAGGGGGTTGAACTTGCTGCTAAATTCAGGAGCAGAGAAGAGGAGGTGAATGGAGGAAAACAGAGTCCCAGGAAAGGTCAAGGCCACATAGAACTAACTTCCTGGGGTCACCACCTGGAAGAGTGGCTGTGTTTTGCCACCGACAGAGAACAGTGACTGGGTAGAGGCAGGTCTGAGTAATAGAAAGTTACCCAAGAAGAGTGAGGGCCTGCATGGTAGCACCGCCTCTTCCAGCAGGAATGAGCCCTGGGGCACAGCCACACCCACACATTTACTCTCCTATGGGCCTGGTTGTAGATGCTGGTTGTAGAGATGACTACTGAGGATAGGTGTGGCTGGCAGCTCAGGCGACCACCTGGCTCTTTTAGAGCCTTGGGTGTTAGGGAACACATTGGCTGGTGCCGTCCTTTTAGGAATGTGGCAATGTCCTTAATTACTGGCACCAGGGTTCAGTAGTCCAGATAAAGATGCTCACAGGCACCTGTTCCTCTCTCATCAATGCACCATTAAGCAGAAACTCTCACAAGAGAGAGAGTCTGCCCCTTAATAAAGGCACGGTTCCACTCGTGTGGCCTTGGATTTCCATTCTCTGGCATCTGTGGCAGACTCTGTACTCCCCACCCACCTTCTTCTGCAAACCTCCTTAAAAGACTCTGCATTGCTGCAGTCTGGGATGCTACCAGCTCCTTCCCTGCACAGGGTTTCCAAGCCACCACCAGGGATGGAAGTTGGTAATAAAAAAGACACAATGCCACCGATTGTTTTAGCATCCAGGGCCTCAATGCAAAATTTGTAACTCCTAGATAGGGAGAGGTACTTCCTTTTCACTGTGTGACATGGGCTTTCTGCTCTCACTTCTTCCTGTGCATTAGTAAGGAAATCTTGGCCTTGACTCTTGCCACCCTGGAGGTTATCTGGTGCCAGTAGAGGCCCGGCTGACTCTGTTCATGTCCACAGAGGTGGCAGGCAGGTTCCTGGTGTCTGAGACCTCCACACACTTGCTAGTGTTCAGCATGGACCAGCGGCTGCCACCCAATAGCGAGCTGGTGCAGGCGGTGCTGAGGCTCTTCCAGGAGCCGGTCCCCAGAACTGCTCTCCAGACTGCTCTCCGGAGGCAAAAGAGGCTGTCTCCACACAGTGCCAAGGCTCGGGTCACCATTGAGTGGTTGCGCTTCCGTGAAGATGGCTCCAACCGCACAGCCCTCATTGATTCCAGGTATCGGTCCCAGGTGTGGAGTATGTGTGTGTGTGTGGTGGGGTGGGGGGATTGGGGAGCTCGGCTCGGCCCTGCTGGGGGGGGGAGCAAAGGATGAGGTGGGGGCAGGACGGGACTGGAGACCCCTCCAGCTTCCCCGCCCCCAATAGCCCGCTAGTCCCCTCGCCTGACGCGCAGCTGTGTTTCAGGCTCGTGTCCATCCACGAGAGCGGTTGGAAGGCCTTCGACGTGACCGAGGCCGTGAATTTCTGGCAGCAGCTGAACCGGCCCAGGCAGCCACTGCTGCTGCAGGTGTCGGTGCAGAGGGAGCACCTGGGCCCGGGGACCTGGAGCGCACACAAGTTGGTTCGCTTTGCTGCTCAAGGGACTCGGGGCAGAGAGGGGCGGGGCGAGCCACAGCTGGAGCTGCACACGCTGGACCTCAAAGATTATGGGTAGGTGCTGTGGGTTAAATTGATAAGCGAAGTCGAGAGACAAATGGGGGATTTGACCTAACTGTGAAATGACAAAGTTTCAGAGTGTGAAAATATGTAGAAAAATCCCTCTGTTAGGAAGCCCCCGGCAAATATTATTGATTTTTAGTTCTTAGCTATCCACCCCCACATAAATATCCATTCAGCTATTTCCTTTGCTGTGTCACCAGGGTATACCCAGCCTAATTCTTGAATACCCCAAGAGCTGGATTTTTTTTGAGACAGGGTTTTTCTCTGTGTAACCCTGGATATCTTGGAACTAGCTCTGTAGACCAGGCTGGCCTCGAACTCCTAGAGATCCACCTATCTCTGTTTCCCGAGTGCGGGATCAAAGGCCTGTGCCACACTGCCCAACCCATTTGGCGAGCTGGATTTATGTCTTCCTCCCTGATGCCCTGATGTTAGCCTTCTCAGCTGACGCCTTCTCATTCCCACAGAGCTCAAGGCAATTGTGATCCCGAGGCGCCCGTGACTGAAGGTACCCGATGCTGTCGCCAAGAAATGTATCTGGACCTGCAGGGGATGAAGTGGGCGGAGAGCTGGATCCTTGAACCTCCAGGGTTCCTGACTTATGAGTGTGTGGGCAGCTGCCTGCAGCTGCCAGAGTCCCTGACCATCAAGTGGCCATTCCTGGGGCCACGGCAGTGTATTGCCTCAGAGATGACCTCCCTGCCCGTGATTGTCAGCATGAAGGAAGGAGGCAGGACCAGGCCTCAGGTGGTCAGCCTGCCCAACATGAGGGTGCAGAGGTGTAGTTGTGCCTCTGATGGGGCGCTCATACCCAGGAGGCTGGAGCCATAGGCACAGGCTGTGGCCTCTCCAAGGATGTGACTTCCATGTATATCTGAAGTGTTCTATTGCTCCAGGAGAGATGCGGATTTTGAATCCCCATGGGTTGATGCCCCTCTGCTCTTTGCTGAGCATTGTGTTTGCTTCCTCTGAACCAGCCTTATCCCCGGCAAGGAACGTGACTTACTGGCCACTAGGGGGCCCTACCTAGTCGTCTCTGTTCTTTATATTGTTCACTGCACTCTATGTTAAAGCACTTAACATGTATAGTTACTGTAAGCTAAGGACAGAGTTCCTAAACCTGTCACTGGATCTGGGCTGAGCCTCAGGTTGTCTTTGGACCTAAGACACAAGTGTATCAATCATGCTCAACTTAGGTAATACGGACTTTGCTAGATATGAATAAAATATGTTTTGCCCTGTAACTTTTATTGTTGTTGTTTGTTTGTTTTGAGACGGGGCAGAGACAGGTGAATCTCTGAGTTGGAGGCCAGTCTATTCTACAGAGTCAGTTCCTGGACAGCCAGAAACCTGTCTCAAGATAAAATAAAATAAACCAAAACCGAAGTCATTCATAATTCTAGGAGGACAGGGCCCACTCCTCAGACTGATACAGAAAGCATCACTCACTCCATTGTCTGTAACATGGCAGGTACCAAGTTTACATAGACTTTGAAGAAATAAATGATGCAGAATCTCAGCCTAGGGAAGGGACCTCTTAGTCGCCTCGGCAATCTGCACAGCTGTTAGCTAAGAGTTTCGTATCCTATAGTCTGCACCCCAAGCCTTCTCATCCTGATCCATGGAATAGATGCAACCCCTAATCTCCACAGTTTTGGTTTAAGGAGCCAATAATTTAATAATTATTTTACAAACTGACTGGCACCTTCAGGCTAGCCCAACTCACACCCTGAATTTATTTACTTAGAGAGGATCTCACAATGGAGCTGCCTGTTTCTTATTTTAGTATTATTACTTCTTTGAGACAAAGTGTTATGTAGCTTAGGATGGCCTCTGACTCCATATGTAGTTAAAAATGACCTTAAATATTTTTTAATTTAAATTGTGTGTATGTGAGTGTATATGAGAGAGAGAGAGAGAGAGAGAGAGAGAGAGAGAGAGAGAGAGAGAGCGCACATGCTATGGAAGTCAGAGAGCAACTTTTGGGAGTTGGTTCCCTCTTTCAACAGTGGGTTCTGGGGGTCAGACTCAGCTAGTCAGGCTTTCATGGCAAGTGCTTTTACCCCCTGAGCCATCCTATTGGTCTAGACCTTGAACTTGGGTGTTGTGATTGCAGGGTTGTACCACCTGGCTTATGTAGTTCTTGGGGTCAAATGTAGGCTTCATGCACACTACCCAAGGACTCTGCCAACTTAAGGTACATCTCTAGCTCCTAGTTTATTGGTTTTGTCAATTTACACTCTGACCATCACATCACAGCCTTTGAAAGGATGAAAATACAGCCTAACTGTTACACTAATGACCACTAAAAGTTAGAAATTTAGAAAAAGTCCATCAGCTTGTATTTAAAAATCACCCTAGCTGCATGCAAAGCTCAGGAAAAAAGAAAAAAACACATGAAATAGCTTGGTCACGATGACCGGTCTCTAGAAATTATTATTATTATTCATAATCACCTAGTTTCTGAAGAATGTTGTTATCCACAACAACAGTCTGGAAACTGTTATGGGTCATCTTGTACACAAAGAAAATAACTAAAAGATGGGACTCATAGCAAAAAAAGGGAAAGACAGAGAAAACAAGAGCCTCTGCCAATAGATATAGATAACTCCCTGACTGGAAAGTACATTCTCCCAGCCATTCAAGGACAAGGCCACTGAGCCCGCTGGTTCTTGAGAAAGCAAACCCCCCTAACCTTGCAGGTGTGCTAAATCTCTGTAACCTAGGAAACCTTACCAACCATCCAAGTTTTGAACTATCCCATGACCTTGCTTTTAGGCCTAGTGAAAATAACAGGCTAGCTTTGAAACTGGCCTTATTAGCTTTGATGTAATTCTATAAAAGCTATCTCAATTCTGCACTAGAGGTCCTCAGTCCTCTACCTCTGCGTGGCATATGACTGTGGACCCCAGTGCACTTGGAATAAATACTCCTCATGCTATTTGCATCAAGACTGCTTCTCGAGAGTGATTTGGGGTGTCGCCTTTCCTGAGTGGGAGCGTGAAGGTCCACCCTCTGTAGATCTTTCATCTTCTCTGGACTTTGAGATGACAGTCACCTCCTGAAGGCCAAGCCGCTCTGTTCTTTGGTAGTGGTACTCCCATCCTAGTATGCCTGGGGCTAGACCCCAGGACACAGACCAGGCAGGTGTCACCAACAAAAGCAGGAATTGTGTGGAGCAGGAGCAGGGAGAACAGACAGAAGCAATCTGAGGAGGGGGGGGGGGGAATAACCAGGAGACTACTACAACCAGGGATCTAGAGAAGCCAGCCGGTTGTGGGGTCCTTAACAAAGGCAGTAGCAGAGCAGGTGCATGGCCAGGCAGAGCTAAAGGAAGACAAAACAGAGGAAAGTTCTGGGAAACAACAGCTAGCTAGAGTCTTAAGGGAGAGACATGGAAGTCAGAGATAGAGGAGAACCGGGAGAGGAAAGAGACACCCTGTTTCAGATAGCCACAGGCTAGAATCAGGGACAGGGAGGCGAAGAGGATATTTTTAGCTTTACAGTAGAAGATGAAAGCTCAGACATGGAAGTGAGGTCAGAGAAGGGGCAAAGCTGTGCCTTGGGGACAAGGAGCTGCTTAGGCATGAAGTTGGTTAGTGCTGGCAAGGACTCCACAGCAAGCTTCGGTTCCACCCTTCTCCTTGTGGAAAACGAGGCCTGAAAGTGGGTAGTTCGCAGAACTGCCCCTGCCATAGTCCTCACTCCATTCCCCTAGCACATCCAGCAACGGTCCTGCCCTGGGCGACCCGGGGCAAAGCAGGTGCAGAGTCCTCTGGTTCGCTGGAAACTTCCAAGTCCCAGCCAGAATACACAGGATGCTCAGCGTGTTTAGCTCCAGTTGGCAACGCTGGTGGCCTGGGCCGGAGCAGTGACGTGTGGTCCCAGAGAACGCTAGAAATGGTGTACTTTATTTAGGGCAGGACAGAGCTTTGGAATTTGCAAGGTCCCGGCTCCTTACCGTGACGGGTTCTTTGTGGCTACAGATGGCTGAGGGGAGGGGAGAGGCAGGGTAAGTCTGTTGTGCCCCTGTGCTCTCCCGCACTGTACCCAATTGGGCCAGCTCATGAAGTTCCTGGGGACATTCAACCCCACATAGAGCCGACCACGAACGTTTGCAGATACTCTGAAGTGCCGCGACTATCCTAGGTTTTGCCCAGTGTCCTCTCAGTGGGGATGTGCTGGGACACAAAGGAAAGATAGTCAGGAGACGTTTTCTCTCAGCCTTGTGGGCGTTAGCTGATCTGATCCGGCCCGTAGACCTCGGCGAGGACGGCCACGCGTGGACCAGGGTTAGAGAACCACAGACGGGCTCACTGCCCAGCACGCAGTCTTCGCGGTCCAGCTGGCGCCGGCGCGGACGAAGAGTCCAAATTAGGTAAGGCGCGGATGCAGCTCTGCGCATGTGCAAGAGTCACTGGAGTTTCACTTTGTAACTTTTAAGTGGTGGGGACGCCGCCCCGCCCCGCCAGGTGCGGCCAGACCACTCCCCCGGTGCGGGCGGCGCGCCACCGCCGCCGCAGGTAAAGTGGGAAGGGGAACCGAGTGGGGGGAGGTCGCGCCGGCAGGGGTCCACACGGGGCAGTACGCCTTGGGTCGCCTTCCCTGGCGGCTGTCGGGGTGACAGTACCCGGGTAGGTGACTAGCTGTTGCCAATCAAACCCCGCGCCGCCGGGACTTCCTGACAGCCCTTGGCTGCGTGGCGGATCGTTCCCTCCCTGCTCCTCCAAGGGCTTTGGAATTTGTCTGCGGGGTCCGATCTCCCCGCCTGACTTGGAGGGCAGCCTCGGAGCCCTCTGTAACTCCTTACGAGGCTAGACCCAGCTATTGCGGGCTTCGAACCGTCCGATGACCACTCCTGCCCTGGTAGCATCCGGTGGAGGGAACCTGGGGACTTGGAGAAGGGCGGGATAGGGGCGCGGGGCGGCGGAGGGGGGGGCAGGAGCGCTTCGACGGTAAAGAAACCATATCCGACAACTTATCCAGGGACCTGATAAGGCTGGCTACCTGAGACCACGGGTGGGGTGGAGTTGCTGTCTTTCAGCCCCAAGCAGGGACCAACAGCTGCAGGGACTTTTGCAAAAAACCTGGGAACAAACTCTCTGGTTGGGTCCCAGGGCCTGCCCTGTTTTTTTTTTTTTTTTTTTTTTTTTTTTTTTTTTGTGGAAATGAGATGGCATTTGCGTATGTGTATATTCATTGAATGTGGGATGGTGACTATTGTTGAGGGTGTGCTCCTTCCTAGGCAGGGCTCCTGAGGCCACAGTGACTAATTTTTTAAAGACCCCCCTCCCCCGCCCTCTCTCATAGTGATGGAGTTGGAACACAGGCACTTTGCTCTGAGCTGCACGTTCCTAGCCCTTAGGGGTTAGTTTGGCTTCTCCCCATCCCCAGAGCCTTCTCTGCTTGGTCTGGCTGCCCCTCGATGAGTGGACTCCCTCCTGCCCTCTCAAGGCGAAGGCGAGAAAGAGCTGGCTCATTGAGCGCCTAGGGAATGTTCCAGTAGCAGCCTCTGACCTCTGACTTGGGACAGGTTGCCCTTGGCTGGAAGAGCTGAGGGTCTGAGACTGTGGGCCTCAAAGGTTGCCTTCACTTGGCTTCCCCTCTTTGCACTTTCCCAGCCTTCCTTGTTTGCTTTGCTGCATTTGATGCCCCCGATTCTAGCCCTTGGGAGACACTGAGGCACAACAGCTGTCTTTGGGGAGGCAGAATGGCCACCTGGCTGACGAGAAAGATCTGACCCGTTGCGCAGGCTATCCCTCTTGCTGGTTGAGCTCTCAGTTCTTTACTTTTGTTTTATTTCTGAGTCAGAGTCTTACTGTGTAATCCTCGATGGCCTCGAACTCGCAGAGATGCACTTGCTGTGTCCCGCCATCTCTTAGTTCTTATCAAACTGTAAATTCTCTTGGGAAA